CAAAAACAGGATATAATCAGATTGGTTGTAGATATTTAGTAAAGGTGATCACAGGCAATCCCACCGAGTAAAAAGGTATCAGTGCTTGATGTACATACCTGTGGGTGCAGCAGCAGGAGCTCAGGGACTGGGAATGCTCTGCTGCAGAATCAGTTGGCTCTATCAATACAGTATTAAATGTTAACAGGTTGAATATAATAATCATAGAGTAGACAGTGGTCCCTCATTTATTGCAGCAGGGGTTCTCAGAATAACTAGCCCCTGGTCACGCACTTTATACACTGTTTATTAATAAACAATAAAATATATTCCTAAATGACAACATGCATAAAAGCAGAACAGTATTTGTACGTCAGTGGGAAAATAGTGGTGGCTTGCTAGCTTTTGTGCGGCTTCCCCGGGTCAGTAAAAACTTTCAAAAGAGAAATGAATGAACTTACCAAGTTGCCCGATCTCTTCACATATCTTCCTCCAAGCTCGGTCCTTTTTATTCCTGTCTCGGTACAGAAAGCAGCTGGTGTTGTACAGTTCCGAGTTGTTTGCTACGGCATTGATTAGCCTTCCCCTCCATTGAAGTATGAAAGGCTTTGGCTGGACCTGCCCCTTTGACCTAGGTAACAGCCACGTCACCAGGCTCCTGATTGGTTGTCGCGGCGAGATTTGACGCTGGAGTTCAGATTTTTCCAACTCGAGCGGTAGACGCGAAACGCGCGTATGCACAAAATGCAACACAAAAACAGACGCGCTACACTGACGCGCGTTTCACGCGTTTTTGCGACGCAAATCTGCTTCCGAATTTTCGCGGGACCCGCAATCGCGTGTCATCGCGCCTTTCCATTGACTTTACATGTAAACCTGATGCTCTATCCATCGCGTTCGGTGTGAACACACCGTAATAGGCAAGTTAATTAATACGGTTGCTACACTATAAAAAACAAAACAGGTTAGCTGAATGAGAGTACCTATACAGCCGGCAACCAATACACGTCATCGTCCCAGAATACGTTGTGTGCGAAAAAACATGGCCTCTCCCATGGCTCCAAAATAGTTTTAAACAACAAACATTTAATGAATAACAAAAAATTTTTGGTTATTCTCAAGTATGTTTTTATGTAGGGGACATAATTTGTAACATATATAGAGTAACTTGTCATAATAGCCGTGGTTTGCTTTAAGAAAGGGGACCAGAGGGTGTGTTCCAACTACAGGGGAATCACACTCCTCAGCTTCTCTGGGAAAGTCTATGCCAGGGTGCTGGAGAGGAGAGTCCGTCTGTTAGTTTTTTCAAATACATTTTTAGACTTTTTTTTGAGCAATGATAAACCCAGCTGGATTTTACTAAAATTGAGGAGATTTTTTGGTGATTGTAATGACAGTGCATTAATACATTGTCATACTTAAAGGGAAAACTAAAAGTAGACAAAAGTAGTAAGATCAGCTTAATCTAATAATTTCCAGTTTTTTGTTTTGTTTTTGTTTTTCAAGCCAAGAGGACACGGTTGGGTTTCGAGCCATATCTGAACTGAATTCTTGGCCAGCATTTATTGCAGATCTGTTTCTGACTGAATATTCCTGAGACCTTGACGTGTTTATCAGAT